CATATGAACATGCCAGAATTTATTTTTACTATTTTCTTTGTTGTTGATAATTGGTTTATGTGTTTTCTTTTTGTAACATTTTAGAAACATTCTAGTGTAGGATTATAAAAATGTTCGCATGTGTGTAGCACTGAAGTTATGATGTACAAAGTCAAGTCAAAATGATCATGTTAGTAGTGATAGTATTACTAAATGATGTATGTCTTATTATTTTTAAAATCTGAAAACACATTTAGTATATAATATCATGAATAATCACTTTGCAATCATAATGTCACCTTACCTTCTGTATATGACAGTCATTTTTATTAGTACTGGTAAGTACTCATGCCATTACCACTTTGTCACAGGTTAAAGAAGCCTACATCAATTTCCTCAATCACTGCTACATTGATACAGAAGTTGAGATGAAAGAGATCTATAATTCCCACCACATTTGGAGTTTGTTTGAGAAGTCTTTCCTGGTTGATATGGGCAGAGTTGCCACCGCTCCACCTGATAGAAGGCACGCTGACAAGTAAGTTTTGATCCTTTAGCTATGTATGTATATGAAGGAATGTGAAGGGAATTTAGTGACTCTGTGAATGAATGTATTATTGAATATGTAATGAAATGAGTGAGTGAATGGAATTTACATTCTGCAGAAATTGCTTTTCTTATAAATTCTTATTGAAATGTTGTTTTTCGTTAATCCAAACAGAGCCTTGGAAAACTATGTAATCAACTCCCTCATGAATATCATCACAACATTCTTCAACAGTCCATTTTCTGATCAAAGCCAGACAATTCAGGTAGGTTACACCTGTTTTTGTGCAATGTGTGTGGGTTTGCTGGAGGGAAGTGAAAAAAAAGTGATTGTCTTTTACCTCATCTCTTTTGTTTTATTTTATGTGAAAGGAAAGTAAGCTTCAGCTTCTGCATCATATAATTAATAAGCAGTGTACAAGTCAGATGATATTCCATGTCTCTTGTCTTGTTTCACTACTGATTTTCTTCCTTGTATCTGTAATCTTGTTCTGTTCAATGACTGATAATCTCATTGTCTGTTTTCAGCATATTGTCTCCTTAACATTATGATGAAAAAGTATATCAGGTGTAGGGCAGATCACATTTTTTCTACTTTTATTTTTCTATTGAGATGATAATAATTTTCAAAAGGTGTAGATGGCTGCAATCAGTATTTATTCTATATTAGTATATTTTTCAGTCCTACAGATTTTTACAGTCATTTGTGATCATTTATTAATTGAGTGATTGAAAAATCCAGAAAAGCCTGAAAGAAAAGAGTTAAGAGGAACTATTTTTATTTTTTAAGAAATAAGTCGAAGAACTGGTATGCATGATTTTAACTAGTGAGGATATCTTTTTATGTACATGGGCCACTGTTTCCAGTTTCTTTTGATATAGTGATAATGATCTCCAAAATGTAAGCTTAAGCAACTCAGGTTTCTTTACTGTATTAGGAAAGAAGAGTAAACAACAAAGCTTGAAATTTGTCATGAAGAACAGTATTGTGATGTTTAGGTGAGAAATATTTATCTTAGTAAACACAACACAGATAAACAAGGTTGAGTCTGTATCTTTGGCAGAAGTCCCAGAATGGGATAATAGCAATTAGGAAGACTACTGCCCTTTATTTGATTAAAATGATAGTAGAATGATAAATTGGAAAGCAAAGTAAATTATTTTAATGTAAAAAATGCGAGTAGATTTCTGTAGAATATATATATTTTTCTAATGATTTTATTTGATTCTTGTTTAACACATTGATTCAAGATACCTGGACCAGTACATTGGAAAACAAATATTTGAAAAAGATTGATTAACTTAAGTAATAATTTCAGGGAATGCTGCTGTTACACAAACATGTACCCAAAATTGAATAGAACATGTAGATGTATTTTCTGTTTTTCATATATGTTAATTTTTTTCTTTCAAAACTGTTTGAGACAGTGACTGGATTATCTCATCAGGATCCAGCTTGCTTATTCTAGATGAAATCTAATGGAACAGATGATATCCATTCAAGACAGTCTTACTGTGCTGCAATATAGGTCAAGTAGTTTGAAGATACTTCCATATATTTCACAGAAATAATGTGCTCTGTCACGTTTTGCTTCCACCCTGTGTTTTGGTCAGTCAGTTTTGAACAGAAAGAAAACAATGGCATTTGAATTTAGGGTATGAAGAAATTCTTCAGATCAAAAGAGAAGGAAAAGTTGACCTGGAGAGTGTCTTTGTTTTCTTCTGCTTGTAGTAGATTAGCAGCTTCACCTGCTAATAGTAAAATGAGAGTTGACCCTCATTTTTCTCTCTTTTTGAAAAGAAATCTCTGTTGCACTTATGTGTATATTATCTCCTAAATTCCTATCTATTTTATGTAAAGCTAAAGTTAGTCCTGTTGTCTTCTGCCTCCATTATCTTGGTTATGCATTTGTGTTCTCACCACTGAAAGGGAAATATATAACATAGAAAGAATATGGAAAAAATATGATTGTGCAAATATGTCTAGCAATTTTGTAAAAAGAAAAGTATGTTGGAGTTTGAAGATGTGCCTTAGATAGTTTATTTACATATATCAATGGGAAATTATTTTTTGAAAGCTGTTGTTTCAGCACTGAAAAGTATTTTAATGCAAAGCACATTAACCCGCAGAAGCTGGGATGGCGAGAATACATGCCATGACCATTATGATTTTAATTTACTTATTTTTGTTGACACAGATTTTTACAAGAGCTTAGTCACCAAGGGCCCCTACCTGGTCTCCCCTTGTTACCCTATTCCTTGTTTTATATTGATATTTATATTTTATTTCCTTTTCCTTTTAGTATTTGTAATGGTATTATATAATAATCTTAATGTCAGTAATGATACTCCCTCACAAGGGCTAGGGCTGTGCTTTCTTTCCAAGAACTTTAGATTTGATAATTGGAAAATATTTCCCCAAGTGGATACTCTTAACCCCTGTGATCTGGATAACATGATTATCATGTTATGAAAATATTTGGTTTAAGGGGCTGGTGGAGTGACCATGCCATCGTGAGAATTTTGGCTGGAGGCCAGGATGGTGGAAATGACTTGCTATGAGTGCACAAAGCTTTTGGGGGGTGATTAGACTCAGTGGGCATTTAGGTAGGGGCTCTTGCATTATTTCCATCAATAAATGTATGGAATGTGCCTTATGTGAGCCATGACTGAAAGAACAATCTCCAGGGAGGACACTATTTCCATGCTTAGGATACTATTCCTGCACACTGTGTCCAGCTTTGGAGGTTGTATTACAGAAGACTGAATATTACCAAGAAAAAAAAATAGACAAAAATATCAAATTGTTACTTATTATTATTCCACTGAGTTATAGACTACATAGGGAGAGGATATGGAGTCTATTACCATCTAGAAACAGCATATGAGATAGCAAATATAGATACTGGATAATGGCAAAAAGCAAAAATACTTATGCAGAAAAAGATATAGTAGCATTGCATTGAGGAGGCATGGTGTCTTGTCACCACGCATGAGTGTTTAGTGTCTGTGTGTGGCCTGCGTACAAGCCACACATCCATCAAAGTAGCTGCTCAAATAAGCCTAGTTTCCAGATCCAAACATGGCCCGGTTTTTGGGCCACGTTTGGGCAGCAAAAGACCCGGATCCAAGAGGTTAATCTTAGATCCTGGGGCAGGATTTGAACTCATGCACTGAGTGACTGGCTCCTATAGTTCCCAGCTGCATGCATTACCACTGTCCAATGGGGCCTGCAAATGTCAGTGATAAGGGTAATAAAAGTAATGGTATTGATATCATTAGAAAAAAAGAAAATCAAGGAATGAGGATATCAGGTGATGTCAGGTAGGCCTACTAATTGACTCTTTGGTGACAAAACATTTGTAGAGCCATCTGTGTGTAAACAAAATTTAAAAAACAAAATACTGTAATCAGTGCAATTACCTAGCTTTGATAGGATTAAAACATTCAAATGTGGTTTTGCTGAAATTGTGTATTGCATCCCAAGGAGATGAAAAAAATGGAAAAAAGACTTTGAAGATATATAATGATAAAAGATATGGAATTAAAAATGTTTCTACTACAATCATCTCAGTCTTTTATCATCAAAAGAAAAGAAATCTGAAGTCAGTAACATCAGTATCTCTTGAGAAGTTTTTTAAAGTATCCCCTTTACTTCATGCATACTGGGGTGTCCCATCATGTCATGGTAAACTACCTCTCAGCCAGGGATAATCTAAACATTGTGTGCTGTTCTGCCTTCTAAGTTTTGGTCACTAAATAGATACGAGCTTGTTTGGTCCCTGCTGATGTTAATGAGGAGGAACAGCCCCTTAAAAGTAGGCTTAAAGCCATTTTTTTAGCCTCATTACCTATAGAGTATAGAGCATAGCATTTGGGGTAATATTATGTTTTGCACACTTAAGATTTTTCCCTTGAGCAGTTGAGGCATGTTTCAGTTCAGTGCTGAGGATTCCTGTCACAATTGCATTAATATGTTTCATTCAGCTATGAAATAACAGTTTGTAATTGTCATAGATGAAAGTTACAACTCTTGTGAATGATTGAATTCTGCAGTGGTGAGACCATATATGCATATATTATTGATGGAAGAAATTTAAGAGAAAAGGTTGAAATTTTCTTAAGGATATTCTCATTAAAGTGTCGTATATGTGTGCATATATAGGTATATATAAATATATATATGTATAAATATAAATATATATAAATATATATATATATATATATATATATATATATATATATATATAATATATATATATATAATATATATATATATATATATATATATATATATATATATATTATATATATATATATATATATATATATATATATATTATATTATACATATATATATATATATATATATATATATATTATATATATATATTATATACCTACTATATATATATACTATATATAATATATATATATATACTATATTACATATTACCATATAGAGATACATATAA